CACCAATCGAGCAACATCACATTCATTTCATGGTATTATTGAAGCCAACTAGCCAACCGATACGTAGTTTAAGAAATAAAGGTGAACTGCTCTGTTTCGCCTTTTCCATGTGTATTTATTAGTTTAAGTGCCCGTGTGGAGCTAGTTACATTGGGCGTATGATCAGGCAAGTTCATCGTCGAATTTCTGAGCACTTCCCATCTTGGTTTTGCAGAGGTCAGAATAAAGCTTAGACACAGCTCAATACTAACTCATCTCTTCGATACCAGGCATCAATTTCACTCTAACAAAGCTTTAATGGTTATTAATCGTATTTCACCCGACCTCTCGCCTAGTCTACGAGTACGACTTTTAAATACAGCAGCAGAGGCAATCAGAATTCATCTGAACAAGCCAAATCTTCTTTTTCAAAAGAAATATATCTACAGCCCCTTTCTTCGCTATAGTCAACTACTTAATATGTTTTTACGAGTTGATCACGGATTGATATCAGTTAGATAACCATTGAAAACCAGCATTGGAGTACTGGACAGCTGTTTCATCCTAGTCTGGGAATCATCGGCAGTACTCACCCACCGCCAGGGTTCGAACCCAGGACGTTTCGGTTACAAGGCAAGCTCGTATACCATTCAGCCACTGGGACCCGATTCAATGGCTCGTGAATTCTAACTTCTACCTATTCGTGATTTAGCGCGACCCCAACCATTGTCGTAGGTGGGACATCTTGTTAGAAGTAAGAATTCATGAGCCACTGAGTCGGGTCTCAGTAGCTGAATGGTATACGAGCTGGCTAGCCTTGTAACCGAAATGTCCTGGGTTCGAACCCCAGTTGGTACGTACTGCCGATGATTCCCAAACTAGGATGAAACAGCTGGCTGTCCAGTACTCCAGTGCTGGTTTTCAATGGTTCTCTAACTGATATCAATCCGTGTTCAACTCGTAAAAACAAAACTAACCCTTACAAACCAAACTATAGAAAAATACGCAATATGTATTAAGTATTTTAAAAACGGTTTTTTTCCCTCCCCTTGTAACTATCTTTTGACTTGGATATCTTGTTACTAACATCTATTAGCTAATTGATGTTTTGACGACTTTTAACCCCTTTAATTTCACCTACCCACCCCCGGTTATACCTAAATCTGATTGACTAAAATAACTACTTGGTTGGTAAACGAATATTGATGTAAAAGAAACTGTATATTAGTGAGTGTAATAGAGGCAGCCAGCCGATGATGAGGAACTGCTAATTGAAAGGGAATACATGTGTCTTCGCTGAATCTGTTGTTATCTGAAGCGTCAATCACAAGAACCAACCTGGCAACAGAGACGGTGTATTCTAGTGCAATAAAAATCAATAAAGGAGAGATTATAGATAGCAGCTACACAGACAAGGTATCTTACAGTCACTGATGCCAGATGATTATGAGTTGACAAATTATATTGCTAAAATAAATTTAGCCCACCAGTTATGCTGTCATAGTTATTTCACTCGTTGGTTTACGTGTTCAACTTTCAGTCATTGTGCCCCCCCCCCACACACGATTGCGTAACTGCCTCCAGTTTTATCTGAATCAAATGTTGATGAATACCCTTCTCATTACGATTTATGATGTCTCTATCTGTCAAGGGACTTAACCCTAAGTTCCTATTATTTGCGAAGACGCTCCAAATTGACAATCACTATGAACGATTATTGACTTTAACTCCAAAACACAAGGACCAATAAGAAATTGTATTCTTTGGCGGTTAAATTCGATATCGGTACAAAGTCTATAAACAAATGTTTTACAAGGAATGAATTGTACTTTTATTCGTATTCCTTCGTCTTCTTCCAACTTGTACACGATTGAATCATTCGCGCCTTCGAGTTGCCCGCCAATGGCGTCCAAGGTCAATGAACCAACGTTCAATGTTCACATTCATTTACACCATCTCTATCGTATATGGTTATGGATATTTTAAAGTATCAGTTTGGGGGAGATATGACTGGTTCTGAGTTAGATCACAAGTTGGCATGAATTAGAGAGCCATTGGAAAAAAACACCACTTGGGTATACTGGATAGCCCTTCGGTCCGAGCTTAGAGCTTTCCAGTCAGTACACATCCATGACCCCGCCACCGAGGATCGAACACAAGTGGAATCCAGCTGCGTATAAATGCTAACTTTTGCTGACTCCTTTATTATACAATTTTCTTTATTTTATTCGTTAACTTTCCTAGTAGAACAAAGGGCTTCAAACTAGAGCTTTGAAGTTTTTGTAGCAGTGGTGTTTATTTTCATGGACTGGTGTTGCCCAACCTTCTATCTTTACCGGCCTTACTACCAGCTTAGCGAGCTTTAGGAGTGCATCGGCCGGGAAATGAACCCCGGACCACGTGAGATATGGTTGGTGAACTTTCTATCACAGAACCACCGACGCACCGGGAGTCGAACCCGGACCGCCAGGGTGACAGCAAGGAATCCTAACCGCTAGACAGGTCATGATGAAATTAAATGAATTCATCTTATTCTTAAAACACTGTTCTCTATATATATTATGGAAGTTTTGTTAAATCCAAAAATTGCATGAAGTAACAGTTAGAATTGTCGATGCTTAATTCAGTTTTGTTCTCACATTTGAATCACTTTATGATCTGATTAGTTCAACTTGTTGTTAATGAGTAGAATTACTTACTTTTGTGGGTGCATGGTTCAAATCACACCCCTCCTCGCTTGGGCAACTACATTTGGTAGCCTAGAGGAACATGAGCTACCTGTTTCCCCGGAGGAGGAACTAAGTTCACGGGTTGACTTGTTACCGAGAAATAATCTCGTCCACTGAGAATATGCGGATGATATAATCCGTCTAGGCGGAGATGCTGAAAGAGTGTAGAGTTTTGTGAACACCACCTTCATTAGCGATAGTCTTTGAATGTTTTGCATGCGATTCTCTCCCTTTGTCAAATATAATATGGCAATGATACACGACTGGACTACACTGACTTTCTCCTACCCTAAAGATGGGCAGGAGTGAAGTGATTGGTGAAGCGTGTTGACCTATTCACTCACTTATTTGGGAAGTGGTATCAGCCAGCCCCAACGGATTGATCGTTGATGAAGACTTGTTCGGCGTTTGCCAACTTAAGCCGTCTATATTACGTAGGCGTGATATCCGACTGGTTATCTATCGAACTACGTGTATACTGCTCAACAGTTCGCTACACCCTCCTTTATGACTGTGAGTGAGACACGATGGCCGTTCAAACTGGAAGACATGAGAAGCCTGGCTATCTAGCTGTCTTTGATCATAGGTATCTGCGTCCCTTGTCAAGTGTTGGTTTAGTATAATAGGGTGAGTAATATTGAGTTAGTCAGGTGTCGAGTGCTACTGGGTACGGAGGGGAAGTCAGTCGGTGAGGTTGTGAAGTTACATTGATTGAGATGGTTAGGATATGTGTGATTCATGCATGACTAACCATCCATCGCCTTCCTCGACAACCACCAACATTAGCTGCCATGGTATGAGTCAGGTTGTTGGAAAAGAACTAGTGGTTGGTGGTCAAACTAAGATATCGCTTCATTAGGCAGTGCAAGCCATAGCAGTTAGTTTAAGCTAGCCAACCAGTCAGCCAGCCACGTAGGGAGGAGTAGACTTCCTAACTGGTTGGTTGGGGTCCTAGGGATGGTGAGAACCTATGAAGACTGGAGTTAGTTATCGGTGATATGACTCAAAATCCTCGTTCTCAATGATGGCTCAGATGTATTCACTCATTGTGACTTATCCAATAAAACTCTATTGTTCTTCCACTATATTACTACTATTCTTTTTCCCTCAATCACAATTCTGTTTATTATCTCTCTTTACACTTGGAGGATCTGGACTTCGCCGATGATATATGTCTGATTTCCCACAAACTGGAAGATATGCTAGCGAAAAGCAACAAGTTGGCAGAAGAAGCATCAAAGATAGGAGTTCAGGTGAACATAGAGAAAAAAGAGGTGATGAAGATTCCTGGACAAAAACAACAACAACAGACAACGATCAGCTTAAATGGTAGGAACCTGAAAGAAACAACCTCTTTTACCTACCTCTCTGGGAAGCATCGTTTCAACTACAGGCCGGTGGAACTGACGAGGATATCAAAGCAAGGATCGGAAAAGCAAGACAAGCTTTCACTATTCTCAAGTCTGTGTGGAGGTCAACAGCACTCAGCATCAAAATAAGATCCGGATTTTCAACTCCAATGTGAAGTCAGTCAGTTCTACTATACGGATCAGAGACTTGTCGCGTCATAAAGATCATCTCAAACAAACTACAGACCTTCATTAACAGTTGTCTTCGCTCAATACTACTCAACATCAGATGGCCAGCCAGAAAAGATCAACAACAGAGAGGGATCTCTGGCAATGAGTGAACCAACCCAGCAGGAACCGATTGTGAAAGAAATAGGCAGGAAGAAATCGAGATGGATTGGCCATACTCTGAGAAAACAAACCGTCAAGTGACATCACTAGACAAGCGATTGCTCGAGCGGAACCTGGCCGGAAGGGAAGTGGCGAGTTAGTCGTCAGTGCAAGGGTGACTTGGAGGAGGTCATGTGAAGAGGAGATGAAAGCGTGTGGGCAGACTTGGAGCCAGGTGAAGACTCTAGCAGAGAACCGAACGCAATGGAGACGCACGGCTGAAGCCCTATGTTCCTGTAGGATTTAAAGGAAACAATAATTATAATAATCTGTCTTTACTCTCTTCTCTTGTTTCTCTGTGGTACATGGAGAGTGAGAGAGAGAGAGAGTGGCAAGTTTTAGTGCTGTACATCTGTGCAAAGTTTCTTTTTATGTTAAGACACCAGTCAGTCACTAACAGCCAGTAAAACTTCCTGTATTGTTTTACTGAATTGATTAGGTTTGTGTGACCATCTCATAACACCGTGCATGTAGCTCACATAATGGTAATGGTGATAATGTTGACGACAATAATTCGTTTAAATTTTCTTTTTTTTTTCAAATGCCTATTTAGGTTACTTGTGTAATTGTGTTTGTGCAGAATTAGTGAAATGTATAGTGAATTCAACTGATATTACACAGTCGGATTGTGATAAAATACTGATCTTATTAGATCAGATTAGTGGCACTGTAAGTTATTGTTACTATTATTACCATTATTTATTTTTGAAAAAAGAATCAAAGCACTGGACGACTTCTTGTCAAAGTTGTTCAGCCTCTGTTAATTGCATTCTTGTTCATTTAGGTTTTTCGTATTTTTGAAAGTATCAAGTCTTTTGTCTGTAATAGTGAACGTATTTTGGCATGTGATTTGCTTTTGTCGGATGAAAGATGATGCTGAAAGACTGGACTACTCCGACTGCCTGCTCTGCAGTCCACTCCGTCCTTCTTTATGGCTGTGACACATGCTAGCCATTGAGAGTGGAAGACATGAAAAGATTCGCTATCTTTGATCATAGGTGCCTGCGTTCTATCTCCCGTGTGAATTGGTATAATAAGGTGAGCAATATTGAGGTTAGGCCTCAGTCGAGTGCTAGGTTGGTGGGAGGAGAAATCAATTGACGAGGCTGTGAAATTACATCGACTGAGATGGTTAGGACATGTGTTACGTATGCCTAGTCATCGCCTTCCTCGACGACATAGGGTTGGTCAGGCTGGAAAAGAGCTAGCAGCGGTTAAACCATAACATGACTTCGTCAATCAGTGAAATCCACAACAGTTAGCTTAAGCCAGACACGTAGGAAGGTGTGGACTTCCTGACTGGTTGGGGTCCTCGGGACGGTATGAACCAATGGCTGGAAACAATTGGTGATGTGGCTCGAACTTATCGTTCTCAATGGCTGTCGCAGATGCCTCCACTCCTTGTGACTTATGATTTTCCAATGAAACTATATTGTTCTTCGATACTACTATTCTTTTTGCCTTATATCTCTGTTTTGCATTCGGTTTTACTTTCTTCTCTTGATTTGTGTGCTACATGGAGGGAGTATGGCGACTTGAACTGCTTCACACCGGTGCAAAGTTCTATGTCGAAAACAGACAGACTCGTCTTAGCATATTGACTTGACTTATTGGGGAAGTTACCTCTAGCCTAATAGGACTGACGAAATCTCAACACGGATATATAGGGCTCATGTGGGATTTGTCATCTCTGTCGGAAACGTTATATCCAGCAGAATAAGATGATTGTACTGGAGTTACCTTTGTTCTTCTTTATCAGTATGAGGCAGGAGAGGAAATCAATCAAAGATGTTGTAAAGTCACATCGATTGAAATGGTGGTTGGGGCATGTGTTGCTCATGCCTAAGAACAAATGAATGGAGACTATTGGTGAGATGGTTAAAAATCGTTGTCAATGGCGTCGAATGATGTATTCACTCTTTTTTTATCTTTCAGTTCCATTAAACTGTCATGTTTCTCCATGTAATTAATCTATCTCACTGATATTTCTGCTGGTTATAGTTCATCTAATTCCCTTGAACTGCCTCACTAGTATGCGAAGTTCTATGGACTGACTGACTGGTTTCCACGTAGAACTTTGCACAGATGTGCACCAGTTTGAGGTGCCATTCTCCCTCCATGTACCACACAGAACAAAAGAAGAGAGCAAATAGAGATTCAGGAGACAGAGAGATAATAAACAGAAGTGTGAGTCGGGGAAAACACAATTGTAGTAATATGTTGAAAGGACAATATAGTTTCATTCGATGATGTGACAAATCATCACAAAGAGAGTGAGTGAATGCATCTGTGCCATCATTGAGAATGAGGATTTTGAGCCATATCACCGATAATTGTCTCCAACCTTCATTGGTTCTTACCATCCCGAGGACCCCAACCAACTAGTTAGGAAGTTTACATCTGCCTACATGGCTGGCTGACTGGCTAGCTTAAAGTAACTGCTATGGATTTCATTGACTGATGTCTCCATGTTTTGCTTTGACCACCACTAGCTGTATGTTGGAACTGAGTGAGTCAATGATGAATTTGGTGTCTTCCTCTTTCAAAGTATGAAGTCTTTTCTTTGTGTTTAGTTGTTGAATGCCTTACAATAACGACTCGTTGGTTAGACTATGGGTTACTCAACCTATATAGGAGTTGTTAGGGTTTGGCCTTTTCGTGGATAACGCTGATGTTTGAAACGAGATGACGGATGTTTTTAGTTCGACTCTTGTTGAGAAATACTATCACTCCTCAATAGGATTCATTTACATCCAGATGACGACACCCAAATACGACGAAGCCCACTGTTCTAGATTCTATTGCTAACTCCACATATTCACCGAATGACAATTTTTGTAACCTCTAAAGAGTGGTCGGTATCGATTTTCCGATTTTTCTGCTTAGTTATTCCATTGGTTTTCATCAGAAGGTTACAAAACCTCAAATGTTGCTTAACAAGCACACTTGTTGTGTAAGAACTTATGATATTGCTTGGTTGCTTGAAACCTTGAGTAGGTAGGCGGTGTTGAGTTTGAACCTATGCCGCAATGGTTAAAAGCCGACTGAATAATTCAGTGGTGAGTCACAATGCCATTGATTTTAAACATACAATGAAATGACAGTTGATTGGATATGTGTTACACGAAATTCGTTTATCTAGCAATTTGTGTTAGAGTATGATGTATCTAGCTGACCAATAATATCTCTACTTATGTATTACTTATTATTATTATTATTACTTAAGAATTACCATAAGCTGCAACGGGTTGATATCTGACGAAATCTCAGCCCGGATACAGAGGGCTAGTTTCGCATATACTAGTTTACGCCGTCTCTGGCTTAGCAGACGTGATATCCGGCTGGCTGTCGACCAAAGGGCGTGTGTACTGCTCATCAGTTCGCTCCATCCTCCTTTATGACTGTGAGACATGGCCATTGAGAGTGGAAGACATGAAAAGACTCGCTATCTTTGATCATAGGTGCCTGCGTTCTATCTCCGGTGTGAAGTGGTATAATAAGGTGAGCAATATTGAGGTTAGGCCTCAGTCGAGTGCTAGGTTGGTGGGAGGAGAAATCAATAGATGAGGCTGTGAAATTACATCGACTGAGATGGTTAGGACATGTGTTACGTATGCCTAGTCATCGCCTTCCTCGACGGGCAATGTTAGCTGACATAGGGTTGGTCAGGCTGGAAAAGAGCTAGCGGTGGTGAAACCAAAACAGGGCACCAGTTAATGAAATCCACAACAGTTAGTTTAAGCCGGCCACGTAGGAAGGTGTGGACTTCCTGACTGGTTGGGGTATTCGGGATGGTATGAACCAATGGTTGGAAACATTTGGTAACATGGCTCAAACTTATCGTTCTCAATGGCTGGTGACTTATAATATCCAATAAAATTATATTGTTCTTCGTTATTACTTTTCCTTTGCCTCACACCTCTGTTTACTGTCTCTAATATGCATTTCTCCTACTTTCTTCTCTTGCTCTGTGTGCTACATGGAGGGAGTGTGGCGAATTAAATTGCCGCACATATGTGCAGAGTTCTATATGGAAAACAGACAGATAGACAGACATTACTATCATCATCCTCATCACTATTTCCTTCAGTTCCCAGTGGGATATAGATACGGCTTCAGCAGCAACACATCTTCATTTCATCCCGTGTTCTCATTAGTTCTTTTTAGCTGGCTCCACGATTGCCTGTTAGCTCTCTGGTACTTCACTTATTTCGGGAGTTGCATCAGCTCCAATGGGTTGATTGATTGCTGAAGAAATCTCAGCACGGAAAGAGAAGGCTTGTTTAGCATATGTCAACTTACACCGTCTTTCACGTAGACTCGATATCTGGCTGGCTGACTGTCGACCAAAGGACGTGTGTACTATCCAGTAGCTCACTTCTCTATGACTGAAAAATAATGGAAATTGAAAGTGGAATGAATAAAATGCCTGACTAGCTCTCTTTGATCATAGTTAGCTGCGTGCGTTATATCTACGTCCTGTGTTACGTGATAGAGTAGGGCGAGTAATACTGTGAGTTAATTAGGTGTTGAATGTTGGATAAGGAAGGAAAGTCAATCGACGAGGTTGTGAAGCAACATCGATTGAAATGGTTAGGACATATGTGACTTGTGCCATTGCCAGCCATCGCCTTCCTCAACAACCAGCAATGTTAACTGACATAAGATTAGGTTGTTGAAAAAGAGTTAGTGGTTGGTGGTGAAACCAAAACATTGCTTCATTAGTCAATGAAATCCACAACAGTCAGTTTAAGCCGGCTACGTAGGGAGGTGTAGACTTCCTGACTGGTTGGGGTTTTCGGGATAGTAAGAACCGATGTCGGCTGGAGACAATTATCGATGATATGGCTCAAAATCATTGTTAATGGCTGGCGCAGACATCTTCACTCTTTGTGATTTGTCATATCATCCAATGAAACTCTTTTGTTCTTCCAGATTACTATTCTTTTTGCCTCATATTTCTGTCTCCTTTGAATCTCTCTTTACTCTTTTCTCATGCTCTGTGTGTGGTGTGGTACATGGCGGGAGAGTGGCGATTTGAAGTGCTTCACATCTGTGCAAAGTTCTATCTATGTTGCAACCAGTCACTCAGTTTATTAGTTCTCAATATGTCGCTTTTTGAAGGCCAACTGGTCGTTTTGCATTCAAATTCCACTCGAGCGAGAGTCTGGTTCACGATTTCAGTTAACCGTCTGTCTCCTCAACGGGGTTTCCAGTCCATCTCCATTTCTTTATACATACTTGTTTGTATGGCGATAGGTTGTTATTTGGTTTGTTACCACCATTGAGTCCATTGTTATTTACCCTTTCAAGCCGGTCATGGAATCTTCAGTAATGAGAGAAGGCATTCGTTGACCGAAGAAGCCTACCAGTGATGTGCCCATCACTGGATGGATGGCTTTGACACCCTCATCTGTGCCGTTTTTGTAGGTAAAGTGATAGATACTACATGGATGAGTGAAAGAGGATGTGACTTTTAGTAGATTTCTCCTATTGATTGGTGACTGGTGCAAAAATGGCCGTTGGCAGTCCAGCATCCTCATTACCACTGTCTATCTTGTGTTCATCACTTAAAGTCATCTATATTGGTGTCGACCTCTTTAATCAATTTGGTGGTTTTCGTCTGTAGATCTTCAAGTTTATATGAAATTTGGCATAAATCATCCACG